TGGCATCCGTGACATTCTGGTAGCAGACAGTCGCACAAAGTAATGCTCTCTTCACCAGGAATGATAAGCTTCCCCTTTTTATCGTGAAAGACATGACGCTTTTCCTGTACTGTTTCTTTATCCTCTGAAAAGGTTGAAATCTAGCGGATGTAACTTCTCACTGGAGTGATTCGGTACTTTTCCATTCGATAGCATAGAACTGTAAGCCGATCACTTTCGCTGGACAAGAAATTTTCATAAGTGTTAATAATCGTTCGAAAGCTTAAATCTCTCACTGACGCGCTACGTCTCATTCTTTCTAAAAGACCCATTTATGATGCTTCAACGAAAGGAAAACATTTGCGTTTCACTCAAGCACTCATATTTCTCGCAGTACAGAGTACTTTCTTTAGTGTATTAGTAATCATTCAATAGACATAAGACTCAGCAATTCTAACGTTGTGCTTATTTTCTGGGAACACCGTTTCTCTGCACTGCAGCATGGAAAATAAGGTTTATTCACATAAGTTTGTTGTTTTTTGGCAAAATCACGGCCTGCAGGTTGGAGGTAGGGGGCAGGGGTTACCGTGATCATCGGTCGATGGTGCCTAGACAAATCATACACGAAGTGCGAATTTTGGCACTCAGTCAAAAATTACTCTTCCTTTCGAAAGCAAATCGAGATAAAATATATGACTCTGATACTAAAAGAATTCCTCTGTGTTCATGTGTTTTTCGAGCTTCCACAGAAGTAGATACTTGAATTGCGCGGCCAATGTGAAACATAATTTTATTTTAAACTTTACAGAGTTATAAAAGGGTCTTTTTAAAAATTTGACCAAGTACCCGCACTAGCTAGAGAGTTAAGCTTTCAAATAATCACTAACACTCTTATGAAAAATTCTTGCCCACCGAGAGAGATCGGCTTGCAATTCTGTGCTACCAAACGGAAAAGAACCGTGGTTCCAAATGACCACGGTATAAAGAAACATAGCACTCAACATGAAGACGACATCCGAGTGAGTCCTACATGAGGTATTTACAAAAACGACAAGTAAAGAACTACCTTGAAATAGAGATTTTATGTCAGAGTCTCTGGTCACCTACCTACTAATTTTCTTCTCGATCTACGGTTATTTGTCGGTTGCACCATTAACCCGCCTGGATTTATGAACTGCAGTCGTCCCAACTCTCGTTGCATTTGCCTTTGACGATCTATAAAATCAAAAACCTCCAACAAACATGGCTCGCTAAACACGATTCCTGACTAAGGCCTAAAAACAATGGAATGGAATGCCCAGTAGACTATACCGGGGTAATATTCGGAAAAAGTGGAAAATTTCTTGATCACTAACTAAGTTCATCTTGCGTCAGCTGGTCTTCATACGACTCGTCGAAGAAGACAAGATTTGCCGTGGAGTCAAAAGAATCTTGTCGTGAATCAAAACTGTCCTGTAAACATCATATCAGAGTTTCCTCTTCTGAATTTGTTTTGGTGCTTCTAAAATCAGCCAACGACAGAGTGAAAACTTCTTTGGCTTCTTTTTTTGTTATCCGGTAACAATTGGAGAAATGACCCCTTTCGTTGGACAAAAACTTCCCTTGCACTCTCAATAACCATTCAAAAGTTTGAATCTGTGGCTACTGCGCTACGCGGCATTTTTGTGAAGACGCCTTTTTATGATGTTGTAGCAGAAAGAAAACATCAGTGTTTCACACACGCATATTTCTCACAAGATAGAATTCTTTTCTCGAATCATAAGCAACTAATCTATAGCGTAAGTTTTGAAGATTCCAGTGCTGTGTTTAATTTCTGGGAGAACCGTTGCACTGCAGCGCAGCAGAGAAGATAAGATCGAGTTTCACATAGGCGGCGCATTTGTTTGTCGGCTAGTGAGTTGCTGGGAGGACAGGGGAGGGAAGGGGAGGGTTGGCCGCGGATTCCATACGGCGGTCGACCAATCGCTTGGCGCGACTCAGATGTGGAGTGCAACTTTTGTTATTCAATTCAAGATTTCTTCTCTGCTTTGAAGGACTTCAAATGACATGTATGACTCTGATACTACAAGATTTCTCGTACACGCTCATGTACTTTTCGTGCCTCCAGCAAAATTACAACAAAAGCGCTCGGCTGGTGTAAAACACAATTTTCTGATTCTTTTCTGAGCCAAACACGAGGCCGTTACAATAAACTTTATTTGACAGCTGACGTTTCGGCAGTTCGCCTTCTTTAGAGCCTGGAATGGTCAAAATGTCCGCAATCCAATAAGCCAAACACCTTCATTACTCCATTAGAAAAATCACCAGACCTAGAATTCAATCGCATCAAGCACAAAATTAACTCTCAACATACTCACCGCTTTTTAATGTGTTTCACCGAATGATTCAAGTGGAGACCACCGGAAAGGAGATCACATAGGCTTCGTAATGCACCTACCCATCAAAATAACAGTCTTATATACTAACTCAAATACATATATACATAATACATAGTTTTCATTTTCATTCTTATACATTTATTTCTTTCAATGTTACAGCGTTATATAAGGTTTTACTTTCGAAAAAACGTCCACGTAGCGCAGTAGCCAGAGATTTAAGCATTCGAATGAATACTAGAACTATTACAAGATTTTTTTCCAGTGGAAGGGCTAGTTTCTTCACTTGCTTCGGACAACAGAAAAGAACCCTTCTTTGTTGGCCAATCACACCACCTATCCAGATTAAGCAATTCCGAAAACGATGTAGTATATCACGTCTCAAAACAAACTATCAGGCAAAAAGATAGTTCAGGGAACTAACATTTTTGTCTGTTGTTGAAGTGGTAGATGAAGTAGACTTTGAACTTGTGAGCCCTACCAGTACGGAGAGCGCGTCGTTTGTTGAAGACATCTCGTCAACTGGACAAGGTTATTAACCAGCACAATAAAATTGTCTCCATACCATGACTTTACAGGAGATTCAAGCAATTTCAAGACAAAATACTACTTCTTAACTCCTTGACAACGACGTCGAGATCTTGTGCGCCACCGAGGATATTGTTATAAATTGTATACTGACCAACAATATAATTTTTTTTGGGGAGGGGGATACTGTTGAAATGCTAATCGTAGGGTATTGTAATAATAATCAAATATTCAGAAGAAGTATAGGAACAATCAAATAGGTTCATCAAATTAGTATCAAATCTGTACGGAAGCGCGCGCTGATACACATCTACTCTGAAACGCGACGCGCGGTGCGCACCAAAATTTGGTCATGTCGTTACCAACGCGTCAGCTTGATATGATGACATCAGAAGTTAAATGAAGTGACACGTATGAAAACTGGGTAATGAGTTGTTTTGGCATTTAAATAAACCATGTGGTAATTGAACGAATTCACTCAAAGTCAATATCGAATTCCCAACATAAAGTGTAGTAGGCCAGTGTCATTGTACACTGTGCCATCACTACATACGCCTCCCTCCTTGCTTCAATGCAGGGCTTAATGTGGGGCGGGGGTCACTGACGAGGGGGTCCGAAACCTCCGAAACACCGGTGTATGGCCCTGGCGTACAAACCTCGTTCAGGCTTTGAGCATTCTTTTTAGAATTACAAAGTGTAGTAATTTTTAAAACCGACAATCTTTGAACGCCAGTATTCTTCAAAAATTCGTACTAGTTTCTAAGACAAAACTCGAGGCTGATATAAACCTATTCAAGCAGTTAACTTTTCGGCGGTTCCGCCTTTTTCAGACTTTGGAAGGATCAGGTTATCCACAAGTCATTCACTCAAACACCTTCATTGCTCCAGCATAAAAAAGTCACCAAACTCAGATATCAATAGCATCAAGCATTAAAATCAACATTTACCATACTCACGCTTTTTATGAGTCCTTTCACTAGGTTTTTGAAGAGGAGATCACCACGAAGAGATCACATGGACTGCGATGCACCTTTCAAATTAAAATAATAGAAGGTACGTCACCGTTACAACGGCGACTAATGAATATTCGACCCAATTCGCTATGCAAGAATCTTTTCAAAAAAAGGGTAGTATCCATTCAAAAGCTTGAATCTCTGGCTAGCGCAGTACGCGGTAGTTTCACAAAAAGTCTTTATTTTGAAGCTCCAACGAAACGGAAAAAAATTTGTGTTTACACACGTCATTTTCCACACAAGACTGAGCTCATTCGTTTGACTAGTCTAATCAATCCATAGCGTAAGAGTTTAAAGACTCAAAGGCTGCACCATTTTGTAGAAAGGACCGTTTCTCTGCGCTGGAGCAGGGAGAATAAGATTCGATTCACATACGCGAACACGGGTACCTTGGCTTTTCTATGGGGTTGAGGGCGCGGCCAGTGCAGATGCGGCAGATTTCGACACAATCGTCAATCGATTGCTCCTTTTCGCGGGCCATAGGGAAGTGCGATTTTTGTCTGTTCAATTAGGAATTGTTTTCCCGCTTAAAAAGAAACTCAAGATTGAACATCTGATGCTGATACTGAAAGATTTTCTCTTTACGTTCATGCGCTTTTCGTGCTTCAAGCGAAGTGATAGTTGGAATGCGCGGCCGATGTGAAACATAACTTTATTTGGGCTTGACAGCACTATAGAAGGGCCTTCTTCGAAAACCGCCTCTTACCGCGCTAGTCAGAGATATAAGCTTTCGAATTTCACTAAAACTCTTATGTGAAGTTCCTCTCCAGCGAATGGTGCCAAATATTCATTTGTCGCCGTCTAACCGAAAAAAAAATTTCAATAATATTATTTTTTGCGTCATATCACGCGTGATCACCAGGTATTCCTTCCTTTCTAATGGGATGTTGGAGGTGCTTGGCTGACTTGATCGTGGACAACTTGATCTTTCTAGGCTCTCAAGAAAGCGAATTCGCCAAAAGGTCAGCTGCTTGAATAAATTGTACCACATCTAACAAGAGTTTTGGCTTACAAAGAAAAAAAAGCGTGAATTGAGTGTAGTTATAGAACGAAATTGGCTACTTTCAAAATGACAAGACATCGTAAGAGTGATGTGTAAAACTGCTGCGTCAGGCGGGACTCGAACCCGCATCTCACTCTATCCGGGAGGGCACGCTTTATTCCGTCGCATTACTGACGCCCGTTTTGCCATCATTCTTTCTACGCTACAACGCATCAACCTGTCAGCAACCAACCGTCAACGGTTTGGTCCACGTATTCGGTATTGCGATGTAGTGTAGAAAGAATGATAGCAAAACGTGCGTCAGCAGCGCAATGAGTTAGAGCACATGCTCCCGGAAAGACTGAGATGCGGGTTCGAGTCCCGACTTATGCAAAGTTTTGCACATCACTCTACATCACTGATAAAATATCGTCGGTTGAGCTGATCAAAATGGTCAAGGATAAAATCCCGAAAGAAAACAGTATGAGAAGAAAAGCAGCATCGATCTTTGAAAATGGTACCAAAAAAAACGAACATTCAATATAACAAGTGGACTTTATTTTGCAGTGGAAGCAATTTTATTGAAAAGTAAAAGGTTTTTGATCAGAGAAATCTCAGTTTCACTAGAAATACGGGAATGGATACTAGAAACTAAACGGTAGCTTCTTTTCTGATTTAACTGATACGGCGCGATTCATAGGTGTTCGGTCAACGAGTTCTAAAGAAAACGAAGACATCGAAACGCTAATCAGATAAATGTTCAAAAAAATTCAGAAAAACAGAATGTCTAAAGCCTAAACGAGGTTTGTACGTCAGGGTGACGCCCGCCCCATATTAAACCCTGCATTGTAGCAATGAGAGAGGGGCATGGGTTATGGGTCAATAAATGTTCTTTATCAACCTCGTGGATTACTTGAGTAATAGAAGAAACCATTACTAATTAGTGAAGCCGAGCAAGGCTAAACGAAAGTCGACTCCCTTGACAGATATGAGGAGTGTCGGGAAGAATGACAACATAATGTTAATGCGTAAATGTGAGCAATACATTTGTCATTTGACGCATTGTTAGTGAATTTTCGACTCGATGAAAGGGAGGGGGGAGGGGTCTGAGAGTGAGGAGGAGGTGGGGGGGGGGGGGGGGGGGTTAAAAATCTCTGGAGATCATATGCTCAAAGGTCGGCGTTGATCAATTCCGAAGGGATGCGTCATGTGCTTGACTCTAACAACAGTCGTTAAAGGTGATCGCGTGCATAACTAATCTTCAACAATGATTCGCGGTGACCTGACGATGTATCAGGTCAGTGCAGCTATCCTCCAGACAAGTTTGGTGCCAATTCGGCAACCCTAGAAAGATGGAAGGCATGGTGGGCCTTGAGCGTGGAGTCGAACCATCGACCATGTGTGAGTCGCAAGCCACCTCTAAACCACTGCGCCACACCTTGCCTTTATATACCCAAGGGCTTTACTATATCACTGTGACTGTATCGTAATGCTCTGTGTACAACTGTGATGTATAACTGTACGTTGATCCTTTGCTAATGTTCATGGAAGAGATAGGTAGATATCACATTTGGACGAAGCCCAACTGCGAGGAAACCTCGACGAAAGAGCGTGGTCATCGTTTATAGCTACAAGATTCGCAGTTACTTTCATGGTAAAAACAATAAAATGATGGCAACATATTGAGAAGAAGTAAAGAGTAACACCAAGGAGCCTTAGTGAGCTAACAGGCCATGCTCTTGGTGGAATCAGTTTGAAAAAATCTCCCGCCCTTAACGAAATGAGTATCTCTGGGTGCTCCACTTGTGTCTATCTAAGTCGGGAAGTGAATCTGATGAACGGCTCAGCTCCAAAGTTGAACAGGAGGAAGCGAGCACTCCGGAGAGCTTTCACGTCCACCAAAGATGTAGCGGAAAGAGCAAGGAATACCAAACTCCGTGAAAATCGTAATCGACTCAATGATTCTTCTTGTCTCAATACACGCGTTAGAAATCTGGACGTTATAACAGTATAAGAGACTTTACAAGTATAAGTTACAAATGCTCATTTGAATGATTTATACTAAGATTATCCCGTATGTCGCAAATAAGGGAAAAGATCCAAAGTTCCGGCCCACGTCAGAGATCAGAAGTCAAAAAAGCTGTTCTAGACGCTAAGCTACCGAAGATCAGGTGGGCCGAATACATAATGTCTTCCAACGAAAACTAATGAGATAGAGTCGTTAGCGACTGGATTTCTCGGGATATCGAGCGCTCTACAGGAAGACCACCGACCGACCCTATGGTCTTAGTTCTACATGCAAACCTTACAAGAACATGTGATGATCAACGAATACCTGCAGCGAGGAGAACCCATTGGGCTTTTCATGCACACGGCAAGGAAAAATGGAAAGTTTGCTACCTCCCGCTCGACTCACTCGACGATCAACGGGCAACAGGTAACACAAGCGACTGCCCAATTACCGGACGTTAAGACGTTTTTTCCAAAGCACTACTGCATATAATGTAATTTAGGAATAGATAGGACTGAAAATTTTCTTTTTGGATTCACTTAATTGTTTGAGAACAGCTCTTCGAACAACGCGACTATCGGGCTTTCAATCGGAAACTTCATCGAACGGAGAAGATGTGATGGCGGAGATATGGTTGGCGTGGAAACATTTTGGCTGAATATGGAATCCAGAAAAATGCATAGATTTCAAAGTAACCAGTGGTTTAGAGTGGAATTTCCCCGTCATGCCCATGGTTGTCGGTTCGATGACGCTGGATTAACCGAAGCTCCATCTTTCCACGATCTAATGGTGCAGAGTGATGTGCAAGCATTTACGGAGATGTTGAAGAATGAGTGGTGGTGACAATGTACCTCGGTGGTGTAGTGGTAGCACGCGTTCCCGGTATGGACGAAACGCGGGTTCGACTCTCGCCTTAGATCTTATTTTGCTCATCACTCAATTCTTCTAGGTATATGTGGAACATCATAACACTGCGAAAAATACAGTAAAAACACTAGAGATTTCAGAACATTTGCGTCAAGCAGTACTCGAACCCGCTTTTCACCCAATCCGGGGAGACGTGCTCTATCTCTTGCATCAACTACGCCCGAATTGTTATCAGTCTTTCTACGTTACAACGTATTCATCTGTCACCAACTGACCGTCAACGGCTTGGCCCTGGTAGTCACTATCGATATTGAACCCAGTCACGCTGACTGATATTGGGTATTAGATGATCTAAGAGAATTCTTTTTACTTAATCGCTTCTAGCTATGGTATGATGTTATAGTATACCCAATGATGTAGAGTGAAATGTAAAGCATTATCGTCAGGCGGGACTTGAACCGGCATTTTATCCAGTCCGGGGGCGCTCCGGGGTTGAATAAAAAGGATTTTGTTCGATCATCTCATACCCAATGTCTGTCAGCGTAAATGGGTTCAATGTCGATAGCAACTACTTGATCCAAACCGTTGAAGGTTGGTTGCTGGCATATAGATACGCTGTAGCGAAAAAGTGGCGTTTAAAGCAGGCGTCGGTTGTACAAGGGAAAGAGCACATGCCCTCGGACTTGGTGAAATGCGGATTCCAGTCCCGCCAGACGCAAATGTTTTCCACATAATTCTACATTATTGGGTATACTATAACATCATACCCCCACTCAGAGTGATCAAATGAAAAGAATTCTGACAGACAACGCGATGTAGAATAGAAAGAGTGGCGTCAAAACAGGCGTCGGTGGTGCAAGGGAAAGAGCACGCGCCCTTGGATAGGGTGAAATATGGGTTCGAATCCCAACTAACGCCAATGTTTTTACACATCACTCTTTATCATCGAGAAGAGAATTCTACTTTCCATGATCACCAATTTGGTAAGAGGCTTTTCTCGGAACATAAGAATATTCTGAGATACATCAAAAGTAAGTCTCAGGTCATTGTAGAAAGTAAGTATGCATTCAGTCGCCTACACGATGTTACTAATGGAGACGATTGAATCGCACATTCCTGATCATTAAAGAACGCGACCAGGTTCAAAAACATTAACACGCACACTCCTTTTAAGGCCATTTATGTAACGCATTTCATAATGTGCATATGTGATAAGGTCTTTCGACGTGAATGCACTTAAGACAAGCATGTGAATTGATTTACAATGCAAGTCTTCTGCGATCTTGAGAGGAGACATGAAAGGGATATAAACGTGCATGGTTTTTCAATTCGGCACATCATGTTCCTCTCAACGAGTGCCTAAACTGCTCGATATTTAGATGGTCTGCGAATTATTTTTACACAAATGAGAGGACTGACAATGAGATAACGACAGGTCTCAAGCTTTACTATTGCTTTTATGTCTAAAGTGGAAGTCCTAGTAGTTCATTTACTGTCATCACTCTATTATAGATGTGTAGATGATTGTTTTGACATCCGCTCCACTCAAGAGTAGATGGGCAAATGTGTGGAGTTGTCTAGTAAACAATATATTTCTCTTGACTAGGGAAAGCACGAAATCGGTGAGATATTTATTAATTCGGCTGACGTTTCGACGCGTTTCATTTTCTTCAGAGCCGACTGATCAGCGTCAATGTTCCACAGTCGTACGTCTTCGTTCCTTTTGTTCAAATCGGATCAGTAGAACTAGACTATAAAACAGTCAGAATTTACGAAATCTACTCGAGTGGAACTGAAAGTAAATCGATTTTCTTTGGAACGTTCATGTTAATCTATCTAAAGGCGCTTACAACATAGAGCGTTGAAAAGGGCAAGTAGTAAAAATATACTAGTTGATTACTTCACTTCTCATACCTCATACACAAAACCTGCTCTTGTGAATAACATGTTTCGATCATCCTCTGGAATGTGGCTTAAGCAGTGAGTACAAGGAGGAATTCCTAATTTTAGCACAAAAATAGTCATTTCTATTAGCCAATACCTAAGGTTGAGCAAAAATTTCTGGGAACATTTTGAAAGCCTCGTCTTAATGTGCAAATTAACAACAAAAACAACAATCATTCTTCAAAGAATAGTCATTTCGTTTCCAGTTTCGCTTTCAGTTCCAAGTTTCATTACAATTTTTTTCTCCGCTATAAAACACCAAGCTCTTCAGCCGAATGTCGAGTGCTAGATGAAGGCTCAGCATCTAAAGCGGCTCTAACCACTTCAATCCAAAACAGGTGGCCTGTCAGAACGACGCCTGTCTTCGAGTTCAGAATTGCCTTCTATGAATCGCTTGAACCATCTGCCCGCAATCAACTTTGTCGTTGTACCAATACCTTCACCATCATCAATCTCATCAACGGCTTTAAGAATCGTGAAAGCTTTTCTTAACAATGGCGGATCAACACGCGGAAATCACAGTGTTCAATAGGCATCCTGGAGGTAAAATTAATGAAGTAAATACATATATGCAAAACTATTAGAGAAGAACGGCACAAAGGTGCCAAAAAATGAGACTTGCAAAAAATTTCCAGATCTTTTGCTCAACCTACCATGTCTCGCAACGCATCTTCGAGTTGGATTAGCGCAGTGGTTAGTGACGCAGTATGGGGAAGTCAGGTTATAAGCGATGCGCTAGTTTGATCCCTAACCACACACTCTTGCAATCAATCAACTGAGTGCCTAGGAACGTCGTAATTTGGTTAGCTCCGAGATTGCAAGGAAAATCGTCTTAATCATTATACCTTTATCTTGAAAGTATTATTAAGACCATTCTAAGATTTCAATAGATCCTTTCATTATTATTTGAGCCAACATGTCTTGTGGTCCGATAAGGGCTGTACAGAGCTCTTGTACATCCCTTATCAGACCATAAGACCACAGCCCTTATCAGACCACAAGACATGTTGGCTCAAATAATAATGAAAGCATCTATTGAAATTTGAGCGTGGTCTCAATAAAGCATTCGAAATAAAGGTATAATATTGATAAAAAATTTCCAGCCAAAGAGCAATCGAGTGTACAACATTCTGTGTTTGGTGAAAATTTCACTTGACATAGATGTAAAACGTTCGACTTCGATATCTCTCTGAACGGAGAGCTTGCTCCCGAGAGAACTGACTAATAAAAAGATCGATAGACGACGGCTTCTGCCCGACTGCTGAGTCTATAAAGACGAAACACGTATATCGGGCTGTACAAGAGCCCTTACCAGACGTCTCAACCACTATTCTGCCGCACTCAGAAGAAAGACTTAAATCTCTGGACCACTGTGGACGATGAATGTGAGCGGCGAATCGAATTCGAAAAATGCTGATATTCGCACAATAAATTGTGATGACGGGTCGCATAATTTTTTTGAGCTATAAGTCGTAAAGAATTAAAAGTCCAACTTTTAGTGAGCCACGGCGTAAATAATCAAAACTGCCTTGAGGATCCTATTCTAAATTAGTCTACCCGATTTTAAAGTTAACGCAAAAATGGTGCGTCTTTTTCAAAGGTGGTGGCTGATATTCAGAAGATTTCACCTCCTTCAGAGCCTAGACGCACTATGCCATACCATATCTAATTGTTAAGATTCAATGCTGTCCAATTGTTCACTTAACATTTCATATATATGAGAAAGCTGATATGAAAATCAATCTCAACGTTTAACAATAGAAAAATCTTCTCCTAACTTCTTATTTGGTAAAGTCACCGATGTGTTGTCAAAGACTCATATTAATGAACCTTACGCAAAGTAGAAAATAATCCGAGTTAGAGTAGTGTTTCGTCTGTGATGATCAGACAGTCTCCCTTTCTCATCACCCCAAACTATTGCAGTTTACTTCAACGACTTAAAGAGTTTACCTCGTCAACATCTTTGACTCGTGCTCCACCATTCTCACTATCACCTCAAAATTATCTCTGTTGTGCCTCTGTTGCCCATGTGCACTTATGGGAGTACTTGTCCGACTTTTTAACTTTCCATCTGAGTGTTCTTTTATACGGGCACAAGGTGGTTCACTCGCTACAATTATGTATCTATCAGCACATATCTAGCAGGAGATTGCGTATATTGTTCATGAACTCACGCAGTCCCTATCGACCGTCAGAACAACTCCTCAATCTTCTGGTCTACGTAGACGGCCATGAAGGTGGTTTTAAACATTTCAAGACGTCTTGTAATATCTAGAGCTCCCAAATACCTTTCCAATCGATGCTCCTTTGACTCTTTTTAAGTGCAGCACTGATTTCGTTTGTTATGAAGAGTAGCACACATAGAACAAAGCCATGACAGTGAACATTTTGGGGTAGTGGCGAGAATCCTGGATCACGAGTCAAATACAGCGCAACAAACGTTTGAGGTCGTTTAAGTAACAAGTAGCTAAGTAGGTAACACATGGCATTAGCCAAGCGCGAATCGTTTGATGGGTGATTGGAAACGGCCGCTTTCTCCTCAACCCCTCGTTCCACCACCCCATGGATTGGCCAAAAAACACCTACCCGCGTATGTGAATCAATCTTATTTCCCCTGTTGCAGAGAAACGGTAAGTGCAGAAAATAAGCACAGCGTTCAAATTAAAATGATTACGCTATCGAATGGTTACTAATAGTTCAAAGAAAGAGCCTTGCCCGGCGATAAATATGCATGTCTGCAACGTAAGAAATCTCCTCCTATACCGACGTCAAGAAAAGGCTTTTGAAAAAACGGCGACGTGAAGTTGCAGCCTGAAATATCAGCTTTCGTATGGTTACTAACGGAAGTTTAACTCGCGTTTTACCCATATCTTGGTGGAAGGGCATATTAAACACCATCACACCACGAAACCACTAACTTGCTTACATTTTCATTTTTCTTCGATCTATTTTACTGTAGTTGTTGGCGACCACCCTCTCTCCTTCCCTACCTCCCTACCTCTTCACTCCCTGAAATGGATGAAACGTGTATTCAATATATGCAAAACATTCGACTCCCGCATGTGCTTGAATATTTTGCATACCACTTAATATTCTTGAATTCTTATTCTTAAATGTCGGCCTAGCGTCATTTGCAACACTTACTTCAGCTGTTTGCAATGCTTTTGTCCACTAATTTCCACTGTGCGAAGCTCGGCCCCCTTTTTCCAACACTTGCGCAAATTTACCAGGAAATGACTTAGCTTACCCCTATGGTTGCATATAAAGTCGGCCCGAGCAGCATTCTGCATCATTCATTAGAAACGGTTGAAAAACCTTACGAAAAGCTGAAGCAAAACGTGAAATGTCGAAACCCCTGTGGAGAATGAAGACGAGCAAACGAATTGAATGCAAATACTGTGATCAGCATAGTACGTATTCTCGCAAAACGTATGTCACTCATAATGACTCTCATTCACTTACAAATCTCTTATCATTGTCTAGATAATGATAGGCTTCAGAAAACCAATTTTCTTTTCGCCTCGGCATAAATAATCAAATATTTGAAATACTCTGTGGTACAGTGCGTTTAAGCTCTGAGAAAGACGGAATTGCCGAAGCGTCAGCTATCGGAGTGGAAAAACAGCGAATAGCAAGTTCTACTCTTTTAAACAATGACTAATTTGTTGGAAATTCTGCTATGAATGACTCATATGAAAGTTCAAAATCGTGAAAGCTTAAAGCTTTATTCGGAGGATTTGACTGCTTGTAAAAAGTGAGAAAGTGGAACGATTGATAGATTTTCATAGATGATTGAATACTGAAACGTATATGCTTGCTTTTTCTTATAATTACCATCACAAAAAGCGATTTTTCAACTCGAGGATTTATCACAAAACGCACATTGTAGCAGATGATAATAGAAGAAACACTTTATCTTATTCACTTACACTTTCATACGACTACAGCCGATATTATTTGAAAGCCATGTATCT